GAAAACGCTTCAGTTCAGAGATGGTTTTTGGGCTGAGGTAGGTAGGTCGTTAATTGCTGTTGACTCTTTCCGGTAAAGGTTTTAACTCCGTTCTGGGTGATAAGACATTCCAAGAAAGGAAACTGAGGGTTGACCAAGTACACATTTTGGATGGATTTAGTTTTAATCCATGATCTTTAAGGCGAGTGAAAAATCTGACGCAGATGTTTAAAAATGTTCTTCCGCATCTGTAGATGCAACCAGGATATCATCAAAATATGGGATGCAGAAATCGAGACCAGACAGTACTTGGTGTATGAAACGCTTGAAATGTTTGGCCAGCATTGCGAAGGCCAAATGGCATGTATAAGTACTCAAAGAGAACCAAATGGTGTAGTCACTGCGGTTCTTGGGCACATCTTCAGCATGCACTGGGATCTGATGATATGCTCTGGCAAGATCTAGTAAGATCAAGGGTAGAAAATATGTGTTTGTTCCATGAAAAAGTTATGGGTACAGTCTTGGATAATGTGGGCACTGGATATCTGTCAGGGACTGTGATGGCATTAAGTCGACGATAAGTCTCCACAAGGCCGCCAGTCACCATTAGACTTTTTAACCATGTGAAGTGGACTGGCCCATGGACTTTTAGATGGGCGAATGGTTCCCTGTGCTAGCATGAATTCAAATTCTTTGCGAGCAGCTTTTAGCATCTCTGGAGAAAGGACGACGAGGCTTGGAAAATACAGGTGGGCCATGTGTTTCAATGTGATGATACACTTCTGGCTGATGAGTATGCTGCCCTGATTTGGATGGGTTTAAAATGTCAGGGAATTCTGCTAATAACCGATGAAACCGTGTGCTGCCCGATAAAACACTTATGTTGGTAGGTACGTTTGATATGTGAGAAGCTTGGCCCTGTGATGTCAGCTGAGTTGTAGCATTCAATTAAGCAATTATTCTTGACATCCACTAGAAGGTGGAAATGTGTCAAGAAAGTCGACACCAATAATTGCTTGAGTTACATCCGCAATAATAAAAGGCCAGTTGAAAGTCCGGCGCAAGTTTAAATCAAGTGTCAATAGTTTGGTGCCGTAGGTTGCAATTTGGGTACCATTGGCTGCATACAGTACAAGTTTATTAAGTTGGTGAGCATTTGTTTTAGTTCTCGGGAGCACTGATATGTCAGCTCCAGTATCTACTAGAAAACATAACTGAGTTGAACGATCAGCCAGTACTATTCTGTCGATGTGGCGGACATTCTGTTGGCCAGCAGAAGACCGCCCATTTAGTTTCCCGCTTGTTCAAAAGTGCATGGAGGGGCACACTTGCGAGCTTGAGAGCCAAAATGCATATGATAAAAACATATGCCACTTGTGGGTTCTTTGTACTGCGTTCGAGTATTATGACGAGATTGACCCCTGCTTCGGGCACGAAATTTATTACGTGGGCCCTGATTTGATCGATTGTATCTCCGTGAAGCATGAAGACTTGTAGAGAGTTCAGATACTTTTTTGGTCAATTCAGCCACTTGTTGTTCGAGGGATGAACTGGAAGGTGCAGCATTAGCAGCACTGACATAAGCTGGAGTAACAAGTTCATTAATTTTGTCAGCCATTGCTGCTAAACGGGTTAGATCTTCATTGGAAGCAGCAGCAAGAATTATTTGTATGTTATTAGGGAGACGCGAAAGCCATAGTGTGACTTCAACAAGTCGTCACTAAAATGGCTTCCTGCCAGATCACGCGTTCGTGACAGCAAGTATGAAGGTCGCTGATCTCCAAGTTCAAGTCCTTGTAGTAAAGTACGTATTTTTGAAGATTCACTTTCTGAATAGATTTCAATGAGCCGCTGTTTCAGTTTGGAGTATTTATCACAATTAGGTGGTTTGAGAATTAAGTCATGCACTGAATTCAGAATATCAGACTCAATTGCTGCAACTACGTGGTTGAATTTTGTAGAATCCCCACTAATGCGAGCGATAGAAAATTGTTCTTCGATCTGAGCGAACCACAATGAAGGATTATTTTTCCAGAAAGGCGGTGGCTTCACCGCAACGCGTGTGATTTGTGGCTCTGGTGGAATATCGTCGGGCATACTGATAGATAATTTTCACTTTAATTAATAAACACTTATCAACACAAATATTGTAGCATGAGGATACACTATTGATATTTTACCATGATAACAATAAATATTTTAACCATGCAGAAAAAATTTACGTAACGATACACACACAAATAAGACAGGGTCAGCAATTACACACACAAATAATATTTTACCGAAATGCATTTGAAAAGAAACCCTTATTTGAGAAAAAAATGATGCGTTCATTTTGTATTGCGCACACACAAAATCACCACTTCACACTGCTAAGGCACTTTCGAAGGAAAAAGGAAATCACTCCTGTAGCACATGGGAAAACAATTCACTACTTTCGAACACTGAGAAAAGAATTTTGCCGTAGCACGTTGCACAAAAGTTACTGATGTGGCACATTTAGCGAAAATCACTGTTGTGTAGCACATTTGTCACAAAGTTGAATGATCGAAGAATTATTGCACGACTGGCGAAGTCAGCGGAACGGAACAGATCACATTGATGATTTGCTGAAGCTCCTTGCGATGATATGCACGACTTTGAAAAAACACAAGCAATATATACCAATACATCTAGAAATAATTGAAGGGATACGTTGTAGCATACGTCTAATGTCCATATTCGTTGTTATTTTTAGTCAGTTCTTCAGAATGCCTTGGATGCACGTGGCTTAGGGTCGCTGAAAATCCATTGTCAGTAGCGTGCTCAGTCAAAAGGTCACCACTTTTGGTAGTCGTGTGTGCTTAATGCATGATATAATTAAAGAAAATAAGAATAGACAATCTCCTATAACAAAAGAATATATTAAATACTAAATTACAATTTAAATTACATTGCAGAGATCAACACAGAGCTCGGAACACAGTTCGTGCTAGCGTCGCGTACACTTGTCCGACGAGAAGTCTGAGTGAGTAAAGATGTCGCTTTGCTGCTCCGATTAAGAACTGGATTTTACACGTGGTGCCATCTCATGAATAGAAGTTGAAGTATCTGTCGGAACGCCACAGGGTCATACTAACATTGGCTGGAATTCCGTATGTGTTGGCGTGAAGAACCGTCCAAGTATAGATTCGCACACTATACTATTACAAAGATATATCTTGGCCATATGCAGTTGCAGGATTTTGATTACCCTGGCTTCGAGGACCTTTTCTTTTAATTTGAGTTTACATTACGTTCGCTGTTTTATATCCGGGAAAAGGTAGAAATATTGTTTGGTGGGTGAAATGGTTTGATTCCTGATGTTTTTTGATGGGGGTGTCGTTTGTCATTCCTGAATTTCCCCACATGCACTGACTGGCTTTCACAGCTGATGTTGAACAGGCAGTATTTTGAGAATGGTTCATGACCGGTTGTGTTAGCTGCTGTGTGGATGGTAGTCTGCGAATTGCGCTAAATTTAACTGAAGACCCCTCCTTATTTAAACGTCAATCCCCCTATAACGAACAATAGCCAGCTAAGATACTGAGGTAGATTACTGGGCTTCTACTGGATAAAACAGTACTTCCCAGTATCTTGAAAGAACTCCCGAAGGAACATGGCGTTGAAGGGAAATCAGGTGGGTCCTGTAGCAGGAAAACATCGTAAAGAGGCTGAAAAGAGAAACAACAGCCAGCTTTTCCATTTCCTGCCTTATATATGATGGGTGAACAGAACAAAGATAATCCACGAACTGCCCGACTTAATCCTTTCCCTTTTTTCCTGTCTTAGAACCTGAATTCGCAAGAAGATGAGTGCTACAAAATGAATACCACAAAAAGTCATTTATCCTCATAAATTTATCTAACTGTTAATTAAATATAAAAATTTACATGATTACTTTAATTAGCAAAAATATTTCTAGCACACTTTAATATACATTAGTACCGAATAATCGTTTGCACGTCAGTTAACTATATTAAATTTTCCAGTCTAGTTTAGATACCATGATTATTATCATCAAAGAGAAAGATACTAAATCAGTAATAGAATTAACACATGTAATTTATAAAAAATATAATTCGTATGCTTTATAATTATCTAATTTATAAGACTACTAAAACACTATTTGCTCTAGTATTGTAATTAATAAAAGATGTGTGCTTACTGATACCTTTTATTTTCTCTGCTATCTCTTACATTTTATACTGTTATTTAAGCAATTGGCCTGCTTATTAGATATTCTTTATTTGTTCTTGTGATATGTAATTCTATTTCTCTATTTTTCTTTTCCTGTTGGCTACTATTTGCTTTACAAATTAAAACTGAATAGTAACACTCAGCTTTTTTAAAGGGAGTGGTCTTCTTCGATATGAGGTCGTTAAATTTCCCGGGCAGGCCAAGGGAAGATTCTTGATTCGCGCAGTTGGCTTATACCATTGTGGATATTCTTCGGAATGAAGATCGCTTTTCAACACTTATCACGGAGCAAATCTGAATATGCTTCAGATTAAAGGTGAAAACACAAAACGAAAATTTCTTAATTTGGCGATTATTGGTTCCATATTAGGTAAATTACCACTCGTTACTTAGTAGCTGGCCCAATGAAATTATTTATTACTGATATTTCCTTGAATTTCTTTTGATTTCAACTTATTTAAGCATAATAACAATATGATTCAAGAAGTTAAAATCAAAGCACTGCTCGACATTTTGTTTCATTTTGTACTTATAGAACCGTCCCCACTCCCAGCGGTCAAAGCAATTTCGATATGATGCTGCTCCTTATTTTGAGAAACTGGGTAGTAGGAAATCTATGTCTTTGGCCAATATTTAAGGGGAAAAGTGTGTGTAACGACCATTAACGAAAGCTCTGTATATATTATATAATGCACTACCGTTTGGCAACAAAAGTGTTACATTCACTTGTGCATTTTTATGAAGTGCTTGTGGACACTTCTGTATTGAAACAGAAATTATATAAGTATTTTATATTTTTCCAGGAAGTGATTGGACAAGAGATGAAAAACGTCCAGAAACTGTGCTCTGTTAGAAGGCAAAAATTAGTAGAATCTAAAACTAAGCACGAGTTCAACAAAGAAACGGAAGAACTGAAATCTTGGATCGCAGAGCAAATGGCAGAAGCAACATCAGAAGAATACGGAGAAGATTATGAACATGTTTTGGTAAGCACAATTCTTGGATAATTTTCAATACCTTGTTTACAGAATTTAATGGCAACAAACAATGTTTACTGATGGAAACTTAAAAAGTTTATGAGTGGAAATTTATTTTTTTTTTATTTTCCAGTTGCTGAATCAAAATTTCGAATTCTTTCGCATCAGAATAGAAAAAGGTTCTAAACGCATCCTTCAGTACGAAGAATTCGCTAAAAGTCTCATAAATAGTAACTGTTACTTCGCCGAAGACGTCAAATCTAGTTTGGAATATTTGAGGTGAAAAATTATTAGTTTCTGTTTATCAACATATTTATAACATAAAATATTTGAATATTCAGCGACATAACATTTGTAACAATGTAAGGAATCTTTACTGAAATTATTCTCCGATGTTAATTTGCAGACTTTCAAAATAAAACTTAGACTTAACTTTGTTGTGATTTCGCTTACAAAAATGAATTAAAAAGTGAATTAATCATTTCTTTCTTATTTAATGATTTTTAAAACCCATTATTTCATTGCCACCTTCTTTATTAGAATGCATATAACAAGAATACAGATTTTCAGCTTCGAAGAACATATGTGGATATTCGCAAGACCGTAAAATTTTATTGGAATTGCTAAGATTCGTAAGGTTAACTAAATTTGATTTAGTTTAACAACCTTCTTATATTAACATTAAGTCAAAATTCAAATTTAAAACCTAACAACATGGCTTCCCTATTCCGCGACTGCTAACATAATTTTAAAGACACATTTTGCCATCCCATAGCACAGCGCTAAAGATTGGCAGCAACAGAGAAATTTCTGCGGAGCAAGTTGAGGCAGCCAATCGTCTCCCTAATCTTAGATTCTCGCTAATTAAACTCAGTACTAAACGTATTGAGTTTAATTAGCGGGTACTGGTGGAATACACGAAGCAGTAGAATGCAGGAAAATTTCAAAATACGAAAAACCTTTTAATCTAATGAAATATTAGAAGAGATTAATTGCTTTCAACTTCGTAATTTTAGCTCATAAGTTAAAATTCATAGCTTTTAACAGCTATGGATTAAATCCATAGCTGTTAAAATCCTAATCCTGTTAAAATCCATAGCTTTTAACAGCTATGGATTAATTTAAGCACCAGTAAACTTTCCGTTGCTGCAATGCATCTATGATTTACTTAAATATAGAGCAAGCATAATACACTTATGTTTTGTCATAAAAGACACCCCAGAACCTTACGTAATGTCAAAGAACACGATGTTTTGAATAATAAAAAACAAGCAGACTAAATCTATACATTTTTCTATTGCCGTATTTTCTATTAGGGCAACATGCTATCTCTCATTATGAAGATATCCAACTGCATTAAACACTTTTCAAAATTAGAGCTCTCTCATCCATTTCAAAATAAAAGTGTGTCATATTTAATAACATGCATAAAGAATGTGCTTAATACTTTCAAAAAGCTACGTGAATATGATATATGTAATTTTATTTCTAAATTATATAACATTTAAATTAATTTCCAATTAAGAATTCTTATGCTGTAATACATAAAGCAAATTTTACATTTTTAATGATTATTTCCAGTGGCCGTTGGTCGGACCTTGTAGAAAGTATTGAAGCCCGAGCTTTCAAATTAGAGGCAGCTTCTGAAATTCATCGTTATCATCGAGATGTGACGGACATTTTATCACGTATTCATTATTACTATCGTGGAATGCCTGAAGACTTAGGCAACAATCTCGTTCACGTTCAAGATTTAATAAAAATGCATGATAAGATCGAGAATGAACTTTTAGGTGTAGAAGCTCAAGTAAGAAATCTTTTCGATGAATTGTATGATCAGCTTAAGAGTAGAAAACATTCTTTTTGTAAAATTTATTAATCTTTAGTTTTCCTTTAATTTTTATACGGTCAAAACCTTAAAAAAATTAATTTATTCTAAAAAGATTGAAACTACTTCTTCTTGCAATTGCTTTAATTTTCCTTTCTCGATTAACAGTAACTAATTCGTGAAAGAATTTTCCATGTTATAATTTCGTAAAAACTATCAAGTTTTGAGCAATGATTACTTGGTTTCTACAAAGCTAAATTTAACAATTTTTACGATGAATGATATCTTTGTGTATACCTATTTATGTATATCCCATAGGAAAATTGTGAAATTTTTAGTCAGAAATCTAAGCTCCCAAGAAGTTTTGTTTCACTTTCGAAAAGAAAAATGTTCTCATGTAAAAATCTGAAAAATGTGAATTGAATTCAATACATCAATTAAAATTTCGTTAAACTCTAAAAACCTGAAGAATGTAGGTTAAGAATCAAAGAGCATTCAATTACAAAGTATGAAAAGCTCTCGTGATAACTACTGCTTGAGTTCAAAGAAGAAAAAAAAAAAAAAAAAAAAAAAAAAAAAAAAAAAAAACAATAAATAATTAAATGTATTTTTAACAATTCGGGGTGTTTTTCTCGTGTTGTTGTACTAGACCGGTCGCTAAGATGAGAGGTCCTTATAATGAGCATTGACATAATTCACTCATTATTTTCTCAGAGTTCCTAAGCTTATATTTTCCATAAAAATGTTGCAAATTTATGGATATATGCTGGTCAGTAAATCTGGAGAAATTAATGCTTTTGAACATAAAATTAAAGGGTTATCCATGGATTGCATCTTGATTTGTGAACAAATTAAAGATTAAGATTTATTTAATGGAAACAAGAAGAAGATATGATGCATATATAAAAATAAAGAAAAGTCATAAATATGTCCTGTTTTTGCAATGTTATTCTCTGTGATCATAGAGAACTCTTTATTTTTGTAACAGAAACTGGTACTTACGTGCTATCGCAATCAGCGTAGTAGAACTCGCCAAATTTTCAAAATGTGCCAAACTCTGGCCACCAGGCGTATAACCACTCTTCAGGCAACCAATCCTCATATAATAATGTTTCAGTCAAGCAACGTTGCTATTTTAGCAGGCGTTCTTTTCCTTGTATTCCAACGGCTTTCATAAACAAATCGTGATATTTTGCACCTTAATTTTAAAATATGCTCTTGTGGCATTTGTTAGCAATAGAAGACACTGCGCTAAAATTCTTCAGGAACGCAGAATTTTGACGCAAAATAGCAAGGAAAAAATGCGAAGATGCATTTGGTAGATAGCCGATGTTACCGAAATTTCCCGCGATGCCATATCCCTGTATATCTCTGGCTGTTTTCTAAGTGTAAACCTATTCAGAGAGAAGAATAGGATAAAAAAATTACGGAAAGATTTGGAGGAAAAAATCAATTTAATTTTTTAATGCACCACGTAATGCTTATTTAATTGTTAAAATTTAGTATTTTAAATTACTAAAATAAGTTACCTTTTTATATGATGATAATGTTTGCCAACCTTACAATAAATATAGATAGTTTGGGAACCGTTTTAAAAAAAAAATCGCCAAAACCACCAACTTGTATCGGATAAGTAACTTTTACCTTTTCATCTGTAAAAAATCGCCAAATTGCGTTAATACGTAAGTACCCAGAAACTTTTGCATACTGAGCAAAGTAACGTGTTGATCTGCACGAGCTTGGGTTTGGAACTATTGCTGATGTCCTAGTACTAGACAAGAGTATTCCCTCGTTTAGAAATGCTTAAGCGTATACGTGTCTTATAAACAAAACTATTTTTCAAGAAAACTGCTAATATATCACTAGAAATCAATTTTATGGAGCCAACCGTCTCATCACATAAGCCTAACGATTTTCCAGAATAATTCTTCCTTTTCAGCTAAATTTATATATATTAATTATTAAATGCCAAAAGGTTATAGTTTTACCAACTCATTTAAAATTTACGAAAAATTTAAGATATCCCACTATCGTACCTAAATTATGAACGTAGGTTGATGCAGAAGTTTCCAGCTGTTTAAAAATGATAAATACGACTCAAAGCTTCAGTCCTCTTCAATCTACTGTCCCAATGACAAAAGCCAGTTATCCTGGCCTTTGTCATTAATACTCCTGTTAATACAAATATTTCCTTAATTTTGATTTATAATGATGTCACGGATAAAATCTGATTCTGATTGAATCTCTGAGATGTAGGTAAAATATCATTGGTCAATTGCTATTTTATTTGGTGGAATCAAAGAGAAATAAACGAGAGGGATTTCTTGCTAGGAGAAGGTAGAACGAAACCAACATTTAATTTTTAACAACAATAGTTGTATCTAGACGTACAAGTCTCTGAGGTAGAAATCATTACCATGCTTCAAGAAACAGCTGGTATTACAAATAGTTGTACTGCAGATAATTTACTTTCTAGCATCACTTTTCTTACTTCTAGCATCACTTACTTTAAGAAGAAAAGTAAGTAACCCATCACTTTCTTACTTTTTAGCACCACTTGTCTTGCATTTCACTTTTTCTTGCATCATATTTTTCGGTAAAACGCACTCTGGGCAGAAAAATCCTGCTTATGTAAAGCAAACCGCAATATACACTGAAGTGACACTGAATTAGGGACAGCTAGTCAATAACGAGTTGGGCCTCCTCTGGAATTTATAATGGCTGTCAAACGACGAAGCATAGATTCAATAAGTTTCTGGAAGCATTCTATGGAAATGGCTTGCCAAATATCGGATAGAGCTGTCTATAATTTAGGAAGAGTCGGTAGTTTTGTGTGATGAGGTTACAAACCTTTCTCCAAAACGTCCGAAAGATGCTTAGTAGAATTTAATTCAGGGCTTTTAAGTAGCCAGTTTATGACAGAGAAGTTAGAAGAACGCTCATCCAACCAGGCAGTAGCCAACCGGGACCTGTGAGAGGTGCAGTTGGCACATGTGCAGCTGGACCTGAGGCTTCTCGAGGGAATACTTTGATGTAACCACTGCTGCTAACATCCATTGCACAAAGGATATATACTTGCCCAAATCTTTCTACGGTATTGTAAAATGAAAATCCACCTTATCATGGCCCCATTACAGGGCACTATTCCTACTCAGTAAGATGATGGCAGAGCATTTTTTGTCTCCATTCATTCTTGACTCAAATCTCACTCACAACACCCAATTTGGAAGATAAATGAAGTACAGGAAGTTATCTTGCTGGGATACTCCATTTCCTTCTGAATGACAGGACAACACAAATGGATGGAGATGATCTCCCAGCAACTCTGTGTACCGAATCATATTGAGGGAGATTGGTACAAGTAACCAAAGATCCCAAGCACTGCCAAGAGAAAACATCTCAGACCATGATTAAGCCACCATGGCCTTGTACAGTTCCAATCTGCCATACAGGGTTCATGGCTTCATGAGTCTGATGCCATATTCTTAGCCTCACGTCGGTATTAAATTAGTCGGAATCGAGATTCATCACTCCTTTCTACTCATTTCAAGTCCACTAGAGTCTACTATCTGTATTCTCTTGCCCAGGCAAGAAGTGCAGCTCGATGACATGCATTCAGCAAAAGTACTCTCGTGGGCCTACGGCTCCCGAAGTCCACATGGTGAAGCAAGTGTTGCACGATCCTTTTACTCACTGTACGACTGTCGCCCTGATTCAGCTGGGTTCTAATTTGAGCTAATGTTTGGCTTCGTAGACTATGTACAATACGGCTGAGCCGTCTCACACCACGCTTGTTCTGGGTTAACTGTCCATTGCAATTTGCCCTATCGCTAGTTCTTTTTCCCACCATCCGTGTATTCTCGGTATACTCTTGACACTGTCGACCTTGAAAAATTCTAGCCTGCTGAGGATTTTGCAAATTGAATCGCCTATGCATCGAGTGCCTACCATCTGTCCGAGATTGAAGCTGTCTAAATCATAAGTGTTACCCATACTGGTAATTGTATCGACTGATTAACAACACCGTAGTACTAGCTGTATGTGCATTTACCACAACTTTCTCCCGTGAGCACAGATGACGCGCAGTGCTATAAAATTTGCATAGCCATGTCTATCCCTAATTTAGTGGCACTTCGGTGTATTTTCAGCAGTTATGAGTGTTTCACTCACTTTGATAAGCCCAGCCATTTAAAAATAACAAGAAAAATAAATAATTATCCCCGTGCTTAAGAATATTTTGATCATTTGGTTTTAAAAGTGCCTGGCATTTTCATTTAAAACTGGCACTGTCAATTAAAATTTCCGTGGGTATTGGAAACCTTTTACCAAAATGAAAAGAAACTTCCCCTATATCTGGCAATATTAGCTTGACGAAAAAAATTACCTGACATAAATATATCTTAAAACAGGTGGAAAAGGCATGATACGTTTATGCTATAATTTGGAATAGTTCGTATTATTGTAAGTTCAAGGTAAGCCCCTTAATTGCTTTCCAACTCACAAGAAAGATTCTAATTTTCACGTGTCCCGTCAATGTAGGTTTGTGCCAAAGATTTTATTGTAATATTCCGCGAAATAAAGTTCGCATTTAATTAAATGCTCGGATGGTGAAACTACCTGAGGGTGTGTTTGGGGTAGAAGAAGGAGCAGCTCAAATTCTCTTAGTATAGAATGCGTATTTATTTAATATTCTAAGTACTTATAAAACGCGACATCATAAAATTTTCTATAGTGAATAATGCAAAATGTCGCTTTAGCTCTTCATGCATTAAACGCTTATTGCAGTGATGTTTTTCATCAAAAATATGAATTAATGTAACAAAAGTGAAGCTAAAATATAATATTACCTAAGCGATGTTTTAACCGAATCAAAATAGAAACCTCAAACTTAGCATAGCAATAAGGTTATTGCTAAACTAAGTTATATGTACTATTTGTATTTGATTACATAAGCGCAATCTGAGATTCGGGAACTTCTAACAATCGTGTTGTTCTGTGATAAATATACATACTTCTAATTCAAAGAGGAACATCCCGAAGTGAAAAGGAAAATTAGTCAAAAATTCAACATCAAGACTGGTGTAGAATTTAAATAAAACTTAGTTTAAAAATGATGATTTAAGTTTTCTTTTTTTCTCCTAACTTTGCACACTTGTGCTTTCTAGAAAATTTATTTAATATCTGTTATTCATTTAAAATTTAACTTAAGTGTTATGCTACATATTTCCATTTTTGGTAGAAAAGCCTTTCTGTAAACTGTGCAAAATTTTCGTTCAAATGAAGATTGTGAAATTTAAAGGGAAGATTAGATGTGTTACATACACATTTAAGTTTTAATTAATCTGGAGAATTTTATGTCAATTGAAAGCAAAGGATAGCTAATCAAAACAGCTAAAATAGCTAAGAATGATAAGCCATATAAAATCAGAAAAATTCTAAGAAATGAAACAACGATGATTGACGTTAAATATTAATTAGGTCACGAGCGCGCGCAATTTCAACTTTATTGGCTTCTTCAGCAATTCAAAATTTTCTATTTGTAGATGAATAAGAATAACGAATTGATTAGCTATTAAAGGAAGCTCATTCAAAATCCAGAATTATAAGTATTGAAGAATGCTTCCATATGCTGTTAATTAATATTACCACTTATGTGGGTGTAATCACAGAACTTAGAAATTTCAAACAATATCATAAATCTAGGTTCACTTGCTGCTCAAAGACAGTCAGCGTTTACAAGATGCATACCCTGGTGGCAATGAGGAGCACATCCAGATGCAACTTGCCTTAGTCATTGAAGACTGGAATTTACTGCAACAAAAAGTAGCTTCACGGAAAACACAGCTTTTGTTGTCTCAGCGCATTCACAAATTTCTCTCTTCTGTAAGTATCACCATATTGCTATTATGTTCTTTTCTTTTATATTTATAAAAATTACAAAACTTTTTTGACGAGCTGGATAAATATTGTGCTTCGTTTCATAAGCGTAACTAGATTTGTATAAGTATGATAGGTAAAAAGTATGTACTGCATTAAAACTTGACGTGCATTTATATTTCAACTAATATGTAATATTAGTGTTATATTGGTGTAAATATATTAAAATCTCTACTTTTATTTTAAAACACGAATGTAGCAAAACAAATTCCCCATAATTCAATTGTAAAATTAGTGTGAAAGGGGAAAATCGGATAAACATTATTCATTTATAGGATTTTGTCTTAATATATATAAGGGTTTAATAATGGATATTAATATAAGTAGTACTATTATATGAAGAAGCTCACTTTAAGAATTTATTATCAGATTATTAACTTAAAAATTTTCAAGCAGCTAGTCTTAATTAAAATGTAAAGACGTAAATCACGTTAAATCATACAATGTTAATATGACGTACAATCTAATAGTTCATTCGGTTGCAAATATATTTATATACGTATATAACAATGTAAACAAATAAACAAATGCAATGAAGGACTATTAAGAATCCTGCGTCTAGGCTGTAATGATTTAATTAAACATAATTATAATTAAAGAGGAATACTATTAAAATTCTTATATTTCAAAGTAAAATTAAGAAAGCCGATTAAGTAAAAGAATTACAATTTGAAGTCTAAATGAATTCCAGTTCAAAAATTCGTAATTTTTAAGAAACATTAAAAACTTCTTTTAAAAAAATGAAATAGTTTTAGAAAAAATTATTAAAAGTATTCAATAGTAAAAGGAAAATCGCCATGGAAAAATTACTTTACATGCAATGCTAATAGAAGTGGATATGCATAAAATAGTAGGCTAAAGGGCTACACTAATCGTGTAGGCTAAGTGGTTAAGCAGAAAGAACTTAGGCTGGAATGAGATTAATCTTATCATGATAATTTTGCTAGGTTCCTGGGCAAAAGTTTTATTTCATGCTTATTTGATACGCGCTATAAGTACTCTGAACAGTCAGTAATGCATCGCAGACTCTTGAAAGCTGGGCTCTTGGCATTTATACAGCCAATCACTTACACTTTTTTTTTTTTTTTGAAATAGTTTAATATTCATCCATCCATTTCATTCATCCATTATCGATATTGCCGGCATATTGTGCTTTACGCAATGTTTCCGGCTCATGATACTTAGGCCAAAGGGCGCATGACGGTAGAAAGCAATGACAATTGAAAGGAGGCATCAGTAGTGCGAAGAGGGGGTGACAGCATGACATCACAAGTCTATTTAAACACACAGACGAAGCTCAGAACCAGGAGAGGCAAAACAGGGTGAAAATCAGACTTGTTCTGTTGTTCATGATAGGTACATGTCATAATAAGGTTATACAAATAAGCTGAAGCATATACAATTTATTAGAATAAAAAATACACACAAATAAAAGAAAAGAGTATAAAATAAAATACGGCAAAAAAGTCTATATACATATATACAGCGACGTTGCACTCGTGATAAAGTTATGTAGGGAAGTTCGAATCTCGGGCGGTGAAAGCCGCAAGCGGTCGAATACGTGCGTCTTCTGCAAAATCTGGTAATCAAATACTTTGAAGTGTTTCATATGAGGAGCAATTTTTTGCTTTTTCAAAGAATTTTCTATTAATGGCTTTATGAAGGAACTCTTCAACTCTGTCGATACGTAGGTCTCTATGTAAGGTCTCATTAGAAACATAAAAGTGCGCATTAGTAATTATTCTGAGAAGTTTGTTTTGCGTAATTTGGAGTTTTTTCATGTCACTTTGAGTGTAGGTCGCCCAGGCAGGTGATGCGTAACAGAAAATTGGTCTGATAATTGCAGTATAGATGTGTCTTTTCCTTTTGAGATCAAGTCTAGGAGTTTTTACCTATTAGCGGGAGGAGATTTTTGATAGTATAAGGAGGTCTTCCATTTAATATTGTGAATGTGGTCTTTCCAGGTAAATCTGTGATTCAAAACTATACCAAGATAAGTAGCCTTTTTAACAAGTGGCACTTCTTCATTAAAGATATTAATTTTTTCTGTCCAAAGGGATTCTGGAATGTTTCTTACCGATGATAATCAATTGGGATTTTGTCCGTTAATCGCAATTCTCCATTTAGCGCACCATTCTTCTATGGCTGGAATTTTTTCTTGAAGTTTTATCAGTGCATGATCTTGATTATGTGACTTCACGGCAAGGGCGGTGTCATCTGCATAACATCCGAGGTACGTATTGAGATCGGCACTATTGGGTAAATCATAAACATAAAAGAGATACAAAATTGGGCCAAGAATAGATCCTTGAGCTACCCCGGCTTTCAGATATTTGGTCTCAGAGTGTTCATATCCAAAGTTTACAAAGAATTTGCGGTTTCGTATGAAAGAGTTGATAAGTAAGATGAGGTCTCTACTGAAATCAAGTGTGATGAGCTTGAAAATGAGCCCCTCATGCCAGACGCGGTCGAAAGCTTTCGCCACGTCTAGCATGAGTAAGGCGACGCTTTGATGTCTAAATAAAGCAGATCCAATAAATTCACATAGACGAACAAATTGTTTTGTCGTAGAGAGATTTTTACGGAAGCCAAATTGTTCCATTGAGAGCTTATCCATATGCGGTTCAATTCTTTTATAAATGTCCCGTTCGAAAATCTTTACCAAGTCCTGGGAAGTAGACTAATCGGACGGTATCCTTCCGGTTTGGTGGCATCTTTTCCCGGCTTTGGTAGAAGAATGACTTTCGCCTTTTTCCATTTTTCGGGAAAGTAGTTATTTTCCAGGCAGGCATTGAGAATGCTTGACATATCGTGTGACAGTATTAAGTGGCATATTTTTAATTGCAACATTCGTAATTTCATCATAGCCAGGTGCTTTCCGGTTTCTGATAATGTTTCTAACCTCTGTCGGAGATGTATATTCAGTGCGATTTTTGGCCCCTGGTCCTTCGAGCCAGTCTTTGATAAATTGCTGAATGTAAGATGAGAAAAGAGGGTCACAGGGATCTTGATTCGGTACAAACTGTTGTTCTAAGTGCTCTGCCATAATGGCGGCTTTTTCTTTATAAGTAAGTGCAATTCTGTTATTACAATAAATTGGTTTATTGCAAGGGGGCTTGCGCCTAAGGTTTTTTGCAAAAGACCAGAAATCATTTCCAGCTTCATTAAAGCTCTCAATTTTATTATTCCAGACCTCATCCCGATGTTTCCGAATCTTGCAACTGATAATATTATTAAGTCTGTTAAGTTCTTTCTTAACCCCTGGGTTCCAAGAGATATGCCACCTTTTTCTCAAACGGTTTCTCTGTTTAATCATATCTCTAATTTCTCTGGGTAAACGGAAATTGTCTTTATCAATAGGGAATTTTTTTGGTAGCAGTGTTTGTATGCACTGAGGATACTATTGTTGAGAATTTCGAATCGCATTATCAATATCCTCTTTATTCTTGAGTGAGCTAATAATTGGAGGGTTTTCTAACAGTGTGTGTAATAATGCTGCCAATCAGTGATGTTTTTAAATTTGTTTTCTTCGCATTTGTTAGTGCCCAAAATAGCGATAACCGGCACGTCGGAGGTTAATTCAACTTTAACATCCAAATACATTGGAATGTCAGTATTTGTGAGCACAATGTCTAAAATATCTCCTCTTCTAGGGTTATCTGGGAGGTACGTATAAACTGAAGGTGCATAGAAATAAATAGGATAGTTATTGATAAACTCGATTAGGACTTCGCCATTATTGTTGGTTCTTCGACAGCCCCATTCAGTATGTTTTGAGTTCAGATCTCCAGCCAGGATGATTTGTTTATTATTTGGGAGAAGTTCAGCTAATTTGTCGATATCCAATACATTGTTCGGTGGATTATAAATTGCAATAAAATAGACAACTCCATAAAATGGGAGTAAAACTGAGGCAGTAACTGCTTCATATCCATTATCACGATCTTCGCTGATGAGGCAAGATTGCAGGGTGTTTTTCACAAAAATCGCGGCCCCACCACCTCTATGGCTTAGTCTGTCACATCTATAACATCTATAGTTTGCGATGTTCAAATTGTAAGCAGGGAGTCGCAAACGTTTCTGTGATGAGTGCAACGTCAATATCATACACAAGTAAAAAGTTATGAAGCTCCGTGGACGCTGTGTGCGTTCCAGGTCATGAACTGAATAGGGGCCCGACTATTTCTGTATTGACCCATTATCTAAAGTCTGTGTTTTGGCAGTTTCTGGATTGGTTTGAATAGTCTGATTTGTTTGTTGAGTTAATTGTAAAAAGCCAGCGCCTTTAATGATTTTTACTAGCTCAGCTAGATTAGCAAAAACTGTTTTTGCTTCATTGATAGTTTCTGAATACAGTCCTGATGATATGGCTTGTGCATAACTTTTTCCTTCTATGATACGGTTTGAGAATGTTTTGTTTTTGACAGTGTTATTTGTGCTATTATTGTTCTTGGGATACTTTTCACAACCCTTAAAACTGGATGTGTGAGGTCCCCCGCAGTTCGCACAGACTAGGGGCTTATCAGGGTTTCTTCTGTCAGGGCATTCTTTAATTGAATGGCCTCCGCCGCATCGGACACATTTCGGTGCATAATTGCATCCGGCTTGGGTATGATTGAAGCCCTGACAGCGAAAACACTGTATGGGCCCCTGTCTGCCTCTATACTCCACTACTTTGATTTTCATGTCGCAGAGTTTGTATTCATTATAGATTCGCTTCGAATCGTCAGTTTTTGGTAAGGTAACAAGAAATAATGGGAGTGGAATGACTTCATCCATCCGAATGTTGACCATATTGTTAAACATCTATTTTATGGTCAACATGCAGCCAATCGCCTGCTCGCCAATTTATTTGTCCACAGATCCATGTAGGACAGACAGCGTGACTACTAGTGAGTGACTCGCATGGCATTATCTGCAATCCCTATTAATGAAGACTCGTAAGCGTTTGTTCAAGGTGCACGAAGCAATACTTCTGAGAGAAGCATGTCTGTATTATGGGTTTAATCTCGAGTTATTAATATTCATGTTAATAATTTAGAATTCTTAAAAGTTCACTAAGTTAATCTATACAAAAAAATATTGTATATATATAATACAGCTCTTTATTAGTGTGATTATTCTTAAACATTTTAACTAATTACAAGACAGTTGAGTTTATTTTCCTTTTAATTAGCAAGTTTTCTTTAGAAAGCAATGAAAAATCCCTGCTTTTCTAACCCGCTTATATTGTTTTAAGGTTCGAGAAGAGGAAAGCTGGGCAAAAGATATCTGCTTTGATTTGGAGTCTGAAGTCACGTCAAGAGATGTGCAGCAAATGGAAAATGCCCACAAAATTCTCGGAGCCGATATTGAGGCTAGGCTTAGTCGTTTCCAGCCACTGCATGAAGAAGGACAATCACTTCTTGCTTTCGATATTTTCCATTCTCAGGTAAGTATGTCATTTGACATTTAATTTCTCATTTACCATCTGTAAAGACCCTGGTATTAAACAGCCATGAAAACAGTTTTCATACATAAATAAGACTTCAAATAGTTTTTGCACTTCCCCCCCCTCGAAAAATTGGCCTTGACAATTATTTTTATGGAAACAAATCATTTGTATGAATTCCATATTTTAGACTAAATTATTTTCAAAGCCAATTTCTGTTGAATTATCATACAAATTTCCTAAAGAATCGAAAATAAATTTTTCGTTTTTCCAAGATGTTTACAAATGCTAATATGTTTTTAAGATCATAATATGTTTACAAAATATTATTACTTTCATATTTTATGAAAACTATGATAAACTTGCTGTGCTAAAAGTTTATCAACCAGCACCTCAAACTTGCATATATTCTATATACTAAGAATCGAACACTATCTCCCCTCCAATAAAGCTACAAATGGCAGAAGAGTACTTTTGTGATTTGATAAAATTATTTGCCCTGAGATTTTTATCGACTTTTATTCTTTCTAGCCTTTCTTTTCCATCATTTTATACTGCTGTGTCATTTTCAAGCTACTTTGTTTCTCCTTTTCCTTTCTATTTTCCTACATACTTTTCTGAATTTTGCAGGTAAAAGAAAAACTGAAATCCTTGTCTGACATAGAGAAAAAATTACAAGAAGCTTGGAGAAAACGATCAGTGTTTGTTGAACAAAAGAAGAAGATATCCTTATTCTTCCTTGAAGCCAAACAAATTCAAGCATCCTACGCTAAGAAAGAAGTAAAGAAATATCTGTTTTTTTTTAACCGCTTTCTTATAAAACTAATTAGCAAACCTTTCATACTAACCTCCTTATTTTATCAAACATATTGAACTATCTGCGAGTGTTATCATCAGTAAAACTTTTCTGCCTTTTTAGATACAACTTTGTGGAAATGAAACAAAAGAAATTGTTGAAGATATCAAAAACGCTCTAAAAAAACACCAAGAATTTCAGAAAGCAATGGATATTCAGGAAGAAAAGGTAAATTTATTTTTGAAGATGTCTCTGAAATTTCATGCTCAATTTTGAGTTAATTTGCTTACGTTATCTTTCATTACTCTAAAATTAATTCTAATTTGCATTGAAGTATTCATTTGAATCTGTTGTGAAATGCAGATCGTAAACCTTTATGCAGAGTGCTTCAAGACAGTATGAGTAAATATCGTTTAAGAAGTTGGTCTTAGATCCATGGATACAATTAAGATGCGAATTAAAAAAGGGGTTGACATTCGTGCTGTAAGAATTTTGTCGCATAACTTTATTTACCAAAAATATACCAAGTTTAAATATCAAGTTTAAACTTTTATATGGACACTTTGAGGAGGAAGTTCCAATCAGTGAATTGATTTCATCTTATTAAAAACCTTTCATAAAATCTTTCGGTTTATATGCAAATTTGGCCACAAGAATTCGGTTCGATGGTATGGCTTAATTCCATGACTTTAGATAACTAAATTGCAGAGGATTCAGTTAAATAAAACAAAAAGTGAACTATATGCACTTATTTTTATCTTAAATTCAAGGTAATTTTTTTTCTCCCCCACAATGTTTAATATTTGAAAGTAAACAAATGAAGTTTCAAAAATTGAACTCGTACTAAAAATTCACATAAATGCTAACGAAAAGATTAATTTAAAATAATTCGGCAGAACATGTACATTGGACAGTTCTGCGAAAGCCTGCTACTGAACCATTAAAGTTTTAACTAACTCACTGAACCGTGAATTTTCAATGAAACGACTATAATTACTACATCCAGTGATAACTACTAAAATATTTTATAATGATTTTTATTACTTTAAAGTAAGGCACAAAATGAATTATATCTCTACACAAAATAAATTTCTTCATACTTCGTTTTGCTCATATGATATGATGTCACACAGTTTACTACCTGGAAGAAGGAAGGAGAGCATCTTATTAAGCAAAGGGTGGAAGAATCTCCGAAAATTCAGGAAAAAATTGATGAGCTGTCAGCCAGGTATTTTTGCTTTTCTAAAAATTATTTTTTTTATAATAAACATAGCATTTTATACTATTGAGATAACTGTTATTTAAAAAAAAACTTTCAAAATATTCATACTTTCAGGAGAAAACGTCTGTTGGACTTCAGTTCAGAACGAACCAAAACACTAAGAGATACTCTAATGTGCGCGCAGTTCAAAAGAGACACATTAGAGGTGAGATACTAATTATTTGTTCATTTTATAATTAGTAGGGCTTTCATACATTTTAAACTTATAATTTTGTAATATTTTCCTTTAACTAGGCAGAATCTTGGGTGCAAGAAAAGAAGAACAAGTTAAGACTGCTCCTTAAAGGTTATGAAAGACTGAAGGATGAGGAAAAAATTAAATGTTTGCAGAAGCAGCAAGCGGTTCATGCCGAACTAGAAGCTCACGAATCCTTCATGAATGATCTCATTGAAGTATATATGCTGCTTCATACTTTTCCACAATTTTTTGTGTGTGCTTTTATTATAATATTTAGTCCACGCGTGTTATAATAATAGCTTAAAAGTAGTAATTAAATAATAATTAGATAATAGCTTAAAAGTAGTAATTAAATAATAAAGTACTATTCGGTCTCGAGGGCCGTAAAAAATCGCCAAACTATTGTTGATGCCTATGCTGCCAAAAATAATTGCGGCAAGAAAGGAAGTATAATAGTAAATAACTATTTAAGATTGATGTTTTAATTTAGATGAAAGGTTAATTTCATATAATACTTTTTTATTATTATAATTTATATGAAAAAGGTTAAACATGACTGAATGGAAGCATAACTATTTCAGATCATTATTATAATTTATATAAAAATTGCTAAACAGAACTGAATGGATGCCTGCATTGCTATTTCGCTACCGACTTATCGCTAAAGCATAATTTCATCTCGTTGGTTGTTCAAACATAATTTTCCATAATAAATGATGTCTTTTCTTTGAAAAAATTCTCGGTAAAGTGCAGAAACGCCCACTTATTTGTTTTGGCGCCTTTTACAAGAGTAAAACAATTGGATTTTTGTCAATTTAGAATATATGTCAAAATAGGTCGATATGTACATAGATAAAGTCGAGAGTGTGCGCAGTGCTATTTTTGTGCAATTCTGTGATTTTTTTTAAGTGAAAATAGGTCCATGTGCACATGGATACTGAGTATGTGCAATTCTTAAAAACGCGTCAAGCAGTAGGTGATTCTGCACTTTACCCAAAATTCTATTGCCGACTTTTCGTCAAAGGGCAATTCCCAAATAGTTAAATCCATAGAATATCAAAAAGGATTTAAAATCAAAAAAGGATTTAAAAATTAAAGTAGTATGTCAATGGCGTTTTAAGAAATATAGCACTATATAAACTTACGCAATCTGAAATCAACGCGTACGCTAGATTTGGCGCGCTGTTAAATGGGCGCGTTTGCTAGATTTGGCGCTTTTGCGCATACATTTTCGCTGCAATTTTTTTACGGCCCTCAAAACCGAATAGTACCAATAATAATTAGTTAATAGCTTAGCTCAAAAGTAGTAATTAAATAATAATTAGTTAATAGCTTAGCTCAAAAGTAGTAATTAAATAATCATTAGTTAATAGCTTAGCTTAAAAGTAGTAATTAAATAATAATTAGTTAATAGCTTAAAAGTAGTAATTAAATAATAAATAGTTCATAGCTTAAAAGTAGTAATTAAATAATAAATAGTTAATAGCTTAAAAGTAGTAATTAAATAATACGAGGGCTATCCAGAAAGTAGATTACGTTTTGGAATAAAAAAATAACAAAGTATAGGAAACAAATTTTATTATATACAGATGAAAGCCACACTCAAATACTACTTTTCTACATAGTCACCATACAAATTAAGGCATTTATCGTAGCGATGTACGAGCTTGGAAATTCCTTCGTCGAAAAATTCGGCCCGCCTGCGCCTTCAACCACTTCGTTACCTCTTCTTTGCCTTCCATCCTGCACAAAACTTGTGGTAACCAAGCTTTTCGTGATGATTTCGTGCAACAAACTTCGCGAAATTTGTGGAAAACTCAAAGAAAGTTCCGTTATTGTGAAATTTCGATTTTCACGGACTTAGCATCGACTTTTTCGAGAAGTTCGGCGGTCACTATGCTGGGTCTCCCACTTCGAACTTCGTCGTGAACATTGGTTCGGCCATTTTGAAATCTTATGACCCACTGACGCACTCCACCTTCAGTGATAATGTTGTTCCCATACACTTCACGAAGCTGCCGATAGATTTCTATCGGTTTACAGTTTTTTGCAGTCAGAAACCTTATTACTGAGACGCACCTCGCAGCTCGCGGATTTCAATTAACGCAGACATTTCAAACCGTCACAGTATCTGAACGGAGCACAGCACGAACCTCTCACTAGCACGGCTAGATGCAGACTGAGCTGCGCAACGCTCTGACCCCAAGATGGCCGCGCTAGCCCCGCCCCTAGCGGACACAGACGGAAACGTAATCTACTTCCTGGATGGCCCTCGTAATTAGTTAATAGCTTAAAAGTAGTAATTAAAGTTAGTAATAAGTTTAAAATATTTTCGTCGAAAAGTCACCTTGTTATGAGTTGCTGCATCCGTAATGTAACTGATTTCTTCTGCGTTAAATAATAATGCTGCAAATTTTCTAACAGAAACCTTTTCTTACATTTTGTAGCAAAGCAGGAATGTAGTTGTTGGACAAGAAATTAAACTAAGGTTCGAGCTTATAGTGGAAAATTGGAAAGAAATGAAAAAGACTGCAGAGAGCATAAGAAACGATCTGTTGGAAGCTCGTGATAGCCTCCGTATACATGAATACTTCGAAAAAGTTGAAAAGTGGATAAAAGAAAAAGTAAGCCTAATTTAAAATTTATATTCTCCTGTTATACGAGAACTACTTTTACGAAAAGACGACAGTTATCAATTAACAGATAATTTATTAATGCACCTTATGTGCTTACAATGAGTTGAACGAAATAAATCGAGTAAATCCTCAAGTACAGGGCCGTATACTTAATACGTCCTTAAAAATTAAGCAAAGGAATAAAGTCAATTTTGACTTTTCTTGTAAATCATTAAACACTTTTCTTTAATGTAAATCTTTTCCTGTAACACTTTTCTGTCCTGTTTTTTGTGAATCATTAAACACTTTCTTCTGTTGCTCAACATTGTTGGTCCGAAAATCACACTTTCAATTTTTCTGCTGCCAAAATTATTCAAAAAACATCTTCCATTGGAGAACTGGATTTTCTTAGAGGCATTTCACATTCAAAAAAATCTTTCTGTTCTTGTTAACGATCCTAATTCCAATCCATCTTTGCCTTTGGCCTTTAAAGAAATTATGTTTTAGTTCTGGTTTCACCAACAGATGGCGCCACTTGCTTATTCTTGTCCAGGCTTTCTTATCTTATCTAATCATTATTTCTTATCTTGTTCAATTGCGGTTTTGCAGCTGAGAATGGTGGTTCGGTAAAACCATCGAAACTAGTCCTGTGAAAAAATTTTGAAAATTAATGCTGATTTTTGTTGTTTGACTTGTGAATTAGCACTTTTCTTTCCTTTTTAACATGCATTCTTTCGTTACCAAAGGAATTATCTGCTCATTTCGGAGCTCAAACTGTCATAATACGGTTGCTAGCTGCTCAGGAGGTTATATTATGTAAATCCGTGAAAGCAAACGAGGGCTATCTGGCGAAAGATATGCCTTCGGGGAGAATTGAGGGAAAATGGCTCATATTTTCACTTTAGACTTGGGGAAAATCACGAAAACCAACCATGCAGCCGCGCGTTCGCCTGGGATCGAGCCTGAGTCGAACTCCCAGAATTTAGTTGTCTTAGTTTCTCGCCGCAAGTGAAAGCTAAAAAGCTAATAAAAAATTAAAAGTAGAAGCTAAATTTAAAATGTTATTGGTTGTAAGTTGGCCAGAAGTTGAAAACGGTTCATGTAAATAATCAGACAAATAAAATCTGTATGTCTGAGGTGAGTATACATACAGATTTTATTTTAAACACATAATAAACCATGTTCTGAATTAAACAAACTGTGCACTGGAATGGAAATTAAAACTTTCCGTTCCCGCAATAGAATATAGCGAAAGATGGCAATGATAAAAACTATTTTTCATAACAGATAGATATTCCTTCGGTTTTAATATCAGTCATTAAAAAACACTGCGTTTTACTTCAAAACTGATAGCGGCATTACATGTATGGGAGCAGAAATTTGGATATTAATGTTATATAAACAACATAAATTCATACCTAATAATTACAATGAACACCATATCTGTGAAACATCTAGAGCAAAAGTTCATTCTGTGTTATGCGGTAGGTAACTGTGTGTATAAGACACTTAACTGAACATATCAATCAAAAAAAAAATAATAACAATAACATCTAAATATTGTGAGCAGTCATTGAAACATAAATGCAAGATAAGTAAACAATTTTAAATTCCAAGATGTTGCGTTGTGTTAACAAAACCCATTCTATGTTTAAGGTCCGTGTAAAAGATAATTACAATTATACAAACAGGATAATAAAATCAACTTACGTTTATTTAAGGTAGGAAAATATTATGAATACAAAACATAAAAGAGAGTCATGACCTCACTAAACATTACAATTAAAACGTGGTGGCTGGTTTCAATTAAATGAACTAATTTGAAAACAACAGAAAAGGATGACATACCTTCTTTAACATATATAATAAGATGCTACACAAATCCGGATTTGGGTATCCATCATGCATTTTGAGTTTTGTTAGAGTACTTGATAGCGAACATTTTTTCTCCAAAAAAAACTTGGGATAGTATCTGAAATTAGAAAACAAAAAGGGGTTAGGATTGACGAAATTCAACAAAGCTATTGTTTCGGAGGCCAGGCTTACCCTCCTATTACTTGCTTCCAACCAGTAGGACACAGGTCTTCCTCCACAGCCATCATGACAGCGTAAATTTTAGGATAAAATATAGTGTGCACCTCTCTTCGTGGGTTAATTTACGCTACGTCTATGATGAGGCTCACCTCCGAGCTGCTCGTAAGTTGACATTAAAGCTCGTGAATTTTTTTTTTTTTTATCCAATTCTAGACGTCTCCCGCAGTCTCGACTGACTGACTGATAACTTATAGCCAGAATACCACTGAGATCAGTAGTTTATCTGGCTCAATCAAATTTATGCCGGATGGGCACAATAACATAGAACTATCTTCACATAATGTCCGCAGTAAGGAGGAGAAAGACGGATAAAGAATAGGAAGACCAGCAACGCAAGAGCTCACAAGCAAGTAACCGGCCCGGTAAAGGCGTGACTAAGTGGGAGTCATAAAATGAGTGTAGAATGTGAATAAAACTAGAGAATTTAAGAAATACACAGTACAATAAATGAGTAAAATACAAAATTAAGAATGCTAATAAACACATTGGGTACATTCATTTACAGGTGGGCACTAGGTGGGAAAGTTCGGGTCCCTGATAAGGTGGGCCGCAAGTGGGCGCAGTTTGGCGTCCTCATTCAATATTTCGTAGGTAAAGATATCAAAATTTCTCATATGGTCACAGTTCAGAGCTTTCGTGAAGAATTTCCTGTTGATCTTATTCAGGTGCTCTTCTAGAGTGTCCAGTTTTAAGTCACAGTGTAGTGTAGCATTGCTCACAAAAAAGTGAGCATGGGTGATAAGCCTTAAGACTTTGTTTTGCATGATTTGAAGTCTTTTTATATCCTCCTTGGTAGCCGTGCACCAGGCCGGCGACGCATAAGTCATCAATGGCCTAATTGCCGTGATATAAACTAGCCTCTTTTTCCTGAGGTCTAAGCTAGAATAATTACCCAATATAGGGATGAGACTATTTACAACAGTGAAAATTTTTCTTCTGACCTCTGTTATATGATCTCCCCATTTTAATCTTTCATTTAGCATTACTCCTAAATATTTCGCCTTACTAACTCTAGGAATCTCTTCAGAGAATAAGAAGAGCTTGCTGTTAATAGTCAACTGTGTATTTTTCCTCCTTCTTATCAATAATAATTGCGACTTGCTGGCATTAATAGCAATTCTCCAAGTCTTACACCACTTTTCTACCACTGGTAGAAGCTCCTGTAATTTCTTGATTGCATGGTGTGCGTTTGCGGACTTTACGGCTAATGCCGTATCGTCCGCATAGCACCCAAGAAAGTAATTTCTGCCAATGTGAGCCCTAGGGAAAGTCATGAACATAAAATAAATACAGGACGGGCCCTAAAATGGACCCCTGTGGGACGCCTGCATTCATGGTGCGTAAACTGGAGATGTCCTTTCCAATAGCCACAGTGAATTTCCTATTAGTGATGAAAGACATAATTAGCTGAATCAGCTCTCTATCCATAGGGAGATTTATAAGTTTATAAATAAGCCCCTCATGCCAGACGCGGTCGAATGCCTTCGCCACGTCTAGCATGAGTAAGGCGACATTTTGTTTCTTGTGAAGCGCATCCCCACAAAACTCGACGAGCCGAACCAGCTGCTTCGTTGTTGAAAGCTTTCTCCGGAAACCAAATTGTTCCGGAGGCAGTAATTCAATATAGTTTTTCAATCTGCTGTAGATTAATCTCTCAAAGACCTTTCCTAGTCCCGGAAGCAAGCTAATGGGCCTGTACCCATCTGGCTTAGTGTTATCCTTGCCGGGCTTAGGCAATAAAATAACTTTTGCGATTTTCCATTTTGTGGGAAAATAGCATTGACTAAGACACGCATTGATAATACTCGTGAATTTTGTCACAACATTGCAGGGCAGATTTCTAAGTGCGTGATTATTAATACCGTCTATGCCAGGGGCCTTTTTGACTTTAAGCTTCTTTGTGATTTCTTTGATCTCACTGGGGGTAGCAGTGGCCATGTACCTCTTAGCAGTGTGGGCATTAAGCCAATCCCTAACAAAGTAGCATGCCTCATTGACAAAATTAATGTCCATGGGCGTCATGTTAGGTCTGAACTGCTCTTCTAAATGGTCCGCAAGGACCGTCGATTTGTCTTTATTATTGAGAGCAACAGAGTTTTCAGTATAAATCGGCTTATTGCATGTACGCTGCCTTTTCAAGTTACGCATGAACGTCCAGAGAGTGCCATCATTCGGACTAAGATTCTGAATTTTTTCCTCCCATACATCTCTCTTATGCTCATCTATTTTCTTTTTAATTAATTTATTTAATTTGTTCATATCTCTTTTAACGTGAGGGCTCCATGTAAGGTGCCACGCTTTCCTCATCCTATTCCGGTCCTTAATCATCTCTCTAATTTCCTGTGGCAGAATGCCAGCGTTATTATTTCTTCTCACGTGTCTAGAGGCATTTTCAATAGCATTATTGATTGAATCAGTGAGGGTATCAACTGCATCATCTATATCTTTCCGCGAGTTCAGAGTATCAAAGATGGGCGGATTCTGACTGAGAAACTTCTGGAACTTATTCCAGTCAGTCGTGCGGATCATTTCATTTTCTGCCTCTTTAGTAGTGCCTAGGTAAGCAATGACCGGTATATGGTCAGAGCTCAATTCGTGCTTTACTTCAGTATAAATAGGGATTGAAGTATTTGTCAGAAGAATATCAAGAAGGTCTGCATTTCTTGGGTTCTGTGGTCTATACGTATACTCCTCAGTAACATGCAAGGCAACTGGGTGATTATTTATAAATTCATAGAGGACCTTACCATTTTGGTTAGTTTTTTTACGGCACCCCCACTCGGAGTGCTTTGCGTTGAGATCACCCGTTAGGATATACTTATTAGTGTCAGAGAGAAGTTTGGAAAGAACACTTTCCGTCAGTAGTTTCCTGGGCGGATTATAAAATGAAATGAAATTCAAATTACCATATTGCG